AAAAAAAAAAAAAAAAGCTTTTAAAAAAAAATTTTTTTTTCTGTTCTTGATTTCTGTTTTTGTTGCACAGTGGTAGGATAGTATGCATAGTGATTTCCATTCTTTTATATTTACTTAAGTAGGGCTTGTGGACTAGTTTATGATATTTTGAAAAAGTACCATGTGCTACTGAAAAGAATGTACACTCCATTGTAGAGGGGTGGACCACTCTATATATTAAGTATGTATGTTTGTATGTTCAAGGGTTTTATTCAGCACTGAAATTTATTTATCTATTTTTTTTTCTGGTTGATCTGTCTCTTTGTGAAAGTGGGGGGTTAAAATACCCTAATATGAATGTGTTAATGTTTGCTCTTTCAATTTCACCAGTTTGGTTTTATGAGTCCTCTAGTATTTGGTACGTAAATGTTTAGCAGTGTTGTCTCTTCTTGTTTGATTGTTCCTTGAGTATGTAGTGACTGTCTTTGCCTCTTTTAATCACTTCTAACTTGAATGCTGTATGAACTCGCGTGCCACATTGGGATTGCTCTTCCTGCTTGTGTTTTGAGTCCTGGTGCGTGAAATGTTGTTGTCCATCCTTTAATTTTTAATTTATGAATATCTTGTTGAATTAGATGAATTTCTTGAATGTACCACACTGTTGGCTTCTGCTTTTTGATCCAGTCTACCAGTCTGTCTTTGGTTGGAGAGTTGAGGCCGTTAGCACTGAGAGATATCACTGAGATGAGCTATTTGCTATCATTGCCTTCTTTATCTGTTGCTGTATTTTTTTCTTCTTACTTCTTTGTTGATGTTTATCTCCTTACTGGTTTCCCCTGTGTGTCCAGCTGTGTTTTCAGTTTGTTGTTTCTGTTGAGAATGTGGGGTATTTTTATAGTTGGTGTAACATTCACATGTCTTCTGAGCTGGTCTTTTTCATGAATATACCTTATTTCACAATCTGTTTTGAAAGGTACCTGTCCTGAGTAAGTTAATCTGGGTTGGGAGTTTTTCACTCTGAGGGCTTGAAGTACTTCATTACAAGCTCTTTTGGCCTTCAGGGTTTGTGCTTAGAAAGTCTGCTGTGATTTCTAACTCATGTACCTTTGTATGTAGCTGCTTGTTTTTCTCTGCCTGCCTTTAAAATTCCGCTTTTTTTGGCTGTATATCTGTATTTGAGGGAATGCCTTAGTGAACTTCTCCTTTCATCATAATTGTTTGGTGTTCTATAAGTGTCTTTTACTCTTTCCTTGCATTCGGGAAATTTTCTTTCATAATTTCTGTAAGCATGTTAGTGCCATGCAGTCTTCTGGATTTTGTCTAACTCTCATTGACCTTAAATAGGTTTCTTGTTGTCCTATAGTAGCTGTTAGATAGTCCTCTTTTATTCGCTTATGTTCTTTTTGTCTTCTTTGAGCTCTTGATTCTAATTTACTGTTTGTCCTCAGTGTCAGATACTGTTAACACGTTGGTCATTTCTGCAGCATATGAGTTCTGTACTGTCTCTTATTTTAGATATTTTGGTCTGACATCTTTTGAAGCATTCCATATCGTTGTTGAATCTGCTGTTCATATTTTGAACTGTCTTGGTTAACTCCTCCAGTTTTTACTTATTTCCCAGAAATTCACCACGGGCATATAGAGTATAATAGCTGTAAACTTTTGATTCATTTCCTCTTTGAATTTACCTATTTTCTGCATCCCTTCTAAGACCTTTTCATAGATTTCTTCTACCTAATATTTGTTTTATTCTTTTAACAAGGGTTAACTTGTTCTGCCTTGGGGGTATTAGTGTAATCTGGAGATCTATTTCCAAGATTTTCCATTCTCCTACTTGTGTCTGGATTTATTGTATGTGCCCCCACTTTGTCTTCCTCCCTTGTTTGGGTGGTGGGATGTTACTGCAATTTAAGTGCTAGAGAAATAAGTTTGTGGCTTTATGGAACTTTTTAGTAAGATGTTGTCTCTCTTGAACGAGTTTTAGCTTTGTTTGTCCAGCGCTAATATTTACTCCCTTTCTTATTTAAGTGATTTTGACTCTGTCCCTATGTTTTTCCCAAATAATTGCTTTTATTTATAACAACATCCACATACTCTTTTCAGCATTTCTGTATGATAGTCCTAACAGTTTCTCTTACCCCTTTGTCCATTCTTTCTGCACATTTATTATTTTTAGTGCAGTGAGGTAGGTGAGGTGAGTTGGGGAGAAGGGCGGGTGTTTGTATGAATGGTGTTAGGCACTAAAGGAGAGGTTTGAAAGGGCAGCTAGTTGTGTATAAGAAGATAAGATTGATATGGATTCTGATTTTATTGGAGTACTTTGAGTTGACTGGTTAGTATTGAAAGTTTTCAGAGAATGTTTTGTGAGGGTAAGAATGAGATATGGGGGAAATGTGGTTCACTTTGTGGTTGAAGAAAGCTGTGTGGTTCTCAGAATTTGCTTATTGAGAAAATAAGTAAGATATGGAAGAGTGAAAAGTTTAGGATGTGGGGGATCAAGAAATCATACTCGTGAATACAAGAGGGACTGTGATGGGTTAAATATGGTAGATTTAAAAACTTGGAAGGTGGAGTTTACATGTTTGGAAAAATAATAAAGATATATGTTAACAAAACTGTATTGGGGTTCTGAGGGGGAGAAACTGGGTGCAGAGTTGAGACGAGAGAGAGGACCTAGACAGCTGTTAAATGAGAGCCAGGGAGCAGATGCACGGAAGTAGGACCGGTGTACACCGGAAGCCATACGAAGATACACCTGAACCCTGCATTGCTAAATAATTTAAGAAATATACAAAAGCTTACACCAGTAAGATGTGTGATGGGAGCACAGATTAGATGCCACAGCGATTCACTGCGTATGTGATTTCCATGTGCTTCTTTGCCAGAGTGAGCTCACGCCCCAGTACTACTCGAACCCCTCACTCAAACCCCAGATTAACTCAGCCCAAGGGCTTTTGCTGCCTGACTGCAGGCGTTCCTGCAGGCTTCTGTCTGAGTGCTTGCATCAGGAATCCTTGCTGTCCCTCTCCCTGTGTAAGAAGGTGGGCTCAGCAGACAAGCCTACTCGCACCAATTGGCCACCAAGGCAGGGCTGTTCCTGTGCAGTCGGTTGAACTGGAGCAGTGAAGACTGATTCACCATAACGGTGGCTGTCAGGGCTAATTGAAGAGTAACGTAAGCCCTTACTTCTCAGTCTCCCTTCAGCAGTGCAAACGCGGCAGCACAGAGTCTCCAGCCCTGTGTGACTCAGGTTGAGCCTCGTGCCCTACCGCAGGACACCAGTCCCTGCCTCTCAGTCAGACTCCCCCAAGTCTGCTCTCCAGCTGCCCGCCGTCTCCTGTGCCCATCCTGTCCTCATCCCTGCTGGGAACTTGGCAGCATGAAGCCACAAAGGGGCTGTTACGGGACCGAGGGCCACAGGCCCAGGCCTCCCTGCAGGGGCATCCTACTAGCTCCTGCTCTGCGTGGCTGTGTCTTGGGGCGCTTGTCTTGCAGTTACTCACCAGCAGCTGCCTCTGGAGCACCACTTGGGAAGCAGGCTCTCACATGTCCCCACTGCGTCTGACTCTCCTGTTCCCCACACAGTTCTCCATGAGCAGAGCAGTTATTACTCCCAACACGCAGCGGGTTTCTCCTCTGTGGTGTGAATCATCTCTTCTCTATCATGAATCCTGTTTTCCTCTCCTCTGTCAGCTCACCTGTTGTTCCTGGGCGCCCTTCTCTCCCTTCCGGTCCTCTCTAAGCCGAGACCTTCCAACTCCAGACACTTGGTCCTGGGGAAGCCAAGCCGCGGGCACTCACCGCTTGCCATCTGTCTCCTCCCCTGCTATTCGTGATTCCGTCTTGTACACCAGGGGTCGTATTCCAGAAGATGGTCAGGATGTAAAGCTCACAACATGGCTACACACCTGTTCTCATCAAAATAGTATTTACCATACTTTATGCAAGTAGCTCTTGTTCGTAGTAAGTCATTGTTTATAGTGAGCCATTATAAATCTTTTATTACAGTATTTTTCTCTGTTCCGTTCTCTTTTAGGGTGGGCATGTCTGTTTCTGTAAAAAATGGAATTGGGATTTTGCGTAAACTTATTTACATGAATTAATTTTAAACCGTATGCCTGAAAATATACCAGCACCAATAGAAGAATTTTAGATAATTCAAATTAAGACTCTTGATAACATTAAAAGGGTAGAAATGATATTTCTAGGGTATAATTTAGAAAGTCTTATTTATTGATCCTTTTTAATGGTTCTCTAGGTGTTGCAGGGCATATAACGCTTTTGCGGTTTTCCTTTTTTACCTTTTTCGGAATGAGATATGTATGTGCACGTAGCTTACCTATATTAACTTTCCTCCGCAGGCCACAGAGACGCTGTTTAGAATGGGCGTGGCAAGAGGCGCTGTTACAACATTAAGGAATGGAGAGGTGAGGTGGAAGTTGTGGTAGCATTTCTGCATTGCTGAGGAGTAGTGTGCAATGTTCAGAGTATAATGAGTTTTGTGGTGTTCTGTGTGATAGAGAAATACTTGCTCTAAATAAGATGGAATGTACCTCATGTACAAATCTACTTTAGTTCCTCGTCCATGAGACCAGATCTTAAATTGCAAGTGAATTGCTGAGTCTCTTAATTTTGGTTATCAATTATTTTTACTATTTAAAGAAATCACTTGTTAATAACAACTCTTACAAATCAGGCATGGTCTGATCTCATTACTCTGGAATCTAAAGCAGGATTACATGTTCAAACCCAGCTACAATAACTTAATAGCTCAATGAGCTGTCGCCTGAAAATTAAGAAGGGGAGCATGCTGCAGCTTAGTGAAGGGCTCGGCTTCAGTCTCTCTAGTGATTTTTTCTTTTGTCTTCTGTGTACAGAATTGATGTTTAGTTTTTAGAATAAAATAATGTGGAATAATGATTTTTTACTATTTTAGAGAGAAAGAAAAAGAATTTTGCCTGCTTTTTATCAGTGTCTTGGTGTTAAGATTATGAGGTTTGACTTTCTAAATGTTCATATTCTTTAAAAAATTATCTATAACCTAAAAAAGGTTCCATTTCAAAATTATTATTGGTCTACTTACCACTTTGTCCTTTTCTTTATTTGTTCTTTCTCTGAGACATATTGTATTTAGGTTAAGGTTGAATGTAATGTTCTATATATTGTTATATTTTTTCTGTTCTAACATATTTGAGGATAAACTTTGGGGCACTTACTATTCTGAAACTAAGTTGTTAGGGCAGTATTTATAATTCAGTAGCCTAAATATTTAATAGTAGGTGTAGGTGACTAAGGAATGAAGTAGAATTATATTACTGTGTGTTTTTATATTTGATTGGTTGATATTGGCTCATTCGGTGCTGTTGTGGTTCGGGGTTTTGCAAGGGCAATGACATAATACAGGACACATTTTACAGTGTCATTTTATAGCAAGTCACCCAAGAATCATATACAAGAAGTGCAGGGAATCTGTCCACACACTGAACACCAAAGAATCCAGCTGAGGACCTGGGTCGTAATACCTTGGATGAGTCTAGCCGAAATCCGAGAGCTTGTGTAGATGCCTCGCGTAAGTCCAACTGCGCCGCTAGAGCCCATGACAAAGTCTCATGCAGCCCCACTTCACGGATCTGTGCTGAAAAGGCCCACAGGTCAGTGGTGGAAGCTAGAAGGCCTACGCCAGCTAGATGAAGGATCTGTGCTAGTGGGCTGAAGGATCTGAACTCGAGCTGGGAAGCTACGCTCCAGATGAGCACCAGAGCTTCCCCAGAGGTACCACAGCCATCCTCAGCAACAGTGAGGTCGTGAGCTCCTCCAGGCTTGACTGACGAAAGCTGAGTTCCCATCAGGAAAGGCAACATGACAAGCTCCATGAGGCTGAGAAGTGCACCATCTTCCCCATCTGGAGCCAGAAAGCGATGCTCAAAGGGACCAGAGCTCCCCCAGAATGACCACAGCCATATTCAGTGACATCGAAGGTCCTGAGCGCCTCCTCTGACAAGAACAGCCAAGTTCATCGGGAAAGCTAGCATGACAAGGTCCCCTGGGAGAGCTGACAGCCTCTCAGCTGCTTCCCTCGTTCTGCCTCCTACGCTGCTGGATCCGTCCTCAGGCGGGCCTTCCACATCCAGCACCACGCTGCTTCAGTTCAGTTGGGGGTAATAAGTTGACCACCAGTTAGGAACCCACTAAGGCACAAATGTGCCGTCATTTACAAAGTAATATGCCATTTTAATATTTTATTTTATATTGGCAACTTATTGTCATAATTTTAAACACATTTTGTCTATAAAGGCAGTTGATTCTTTTGCATTCTCAACAAATTGAAGTATGCTCTATGTTATGAAAAGGAAATTTTACTAGTACTAAGGTAAAAAATATTTATCTATCTTCATGGTCTGAAAATGAATTTCAGATTTTATGAATTATATTTTTATGGAGACAGTGAAGTTTTGAATGTTATATTCTGTACAGGAAGGTTGAAGAAATGTGTAGCACAGCTTAATAAGTAAAATCATCTGAATTGATCAGTAAAGTAAGTCCTTATCTTCCTTCATGAGGAGGAAGCAGTGCGCTGGTTCTTGGCGCTTCTCTCCCACCCCGCGGTGCGGTGCCCGAGCCCCCTGTGTGCCCGAGCTCCGTGAGAGGCGCTCGTGCTCTTGTCAGCAGTGGGGCGTGCGCAGGCGCCCTCTGGCCTTCACCTACTAAAAGAACGCAGCCGCAGAAGTTTTCTCCCCTATATTCCAACAACTCTAAAAGTGGAATGTGTGGTCTAATCAGTGGCATCTCCTAGTCATCAAGTGCTCTTTCTCACGTTAGCACCTCTTAAATTGGTAGATTTCTTTTTTTTTTTTGGGCTGGCTCTGAATGCCTTCAGGGCAGGCTTGGCTGACTTGAGTTGTGGGGATCGAACCACAGCAACCTTTGTTGAAGCAGCCACTTAAAGAACTGAGCTAAGGGGCAGGACCCCCTGGTAGGTTTCTTATAAGTGTAATATTTTGGGTTGATAAACTATGTCACAGTCAGTAAGTGTAAGTAACATTTAGTAGGCACTTGTAGATAGGATATTGATTAATTTTAACTTAATAATTTGACTTTGGGAAGTATAAAATTAAGACAGAAATGAGCATGCTGAATGCTGGATATGATGGCTCACATCTGTAAGTGCAGCACTTGGGAGGCAGAGGCAGGAGGATGTCTGAGAGTGAGAGGCTGACTGGGCTACAAATGAGGTCGAGGCCAGCCTGAACTGCAGAGTGAGGCCCTGTATCAAAAAGATCCCTCTTAAAAAGCCACCCCCGCAAAAACAAAACAAAACAAAACAAAACAAAACAAAACACCCCAAAATAGTGAATACACACTGAAGTTCAATAGGTTTACATACTCATAAATGGCACAGGGTTTAGGGATGGTGGGCCAATTTCTATGGCACTGGATGATAACATTGCTGTCCTTAGAGGAGCATCATATTTGATGGTGGAAAAAATTGCATCAATATGTTAAGTGAGCAGAAAGAATCAGGGAATAAATGAATGTGTTTAGTTTAAGTCTGGAACTAGCTAGCATTCAGTTTCCACTTGAAATCTCCTGAATTAAGCTCTCCTTTAGCACCACAGAAATAGGAGAGAGTCTATGTGATGTTAGATTTCTAGTTTAGTAAATTATTGAAAACAGGAACTTAAAATCACTGTCATTATATTGGTAGATTTCTGACATGCCAGAGGAGGGAAGTGATAAAAGGAGTTTATTTGTCCTAAGGTTTTGCCTCTGCTAGTTCTGTGCTCAAAAATATTTTAATATATACTATATTATAATATATTTATGTAATTCACTAATATATTTTATATATAATATATCTGCTAGGAATAAAATTGGTTTATTCAAATTACAGAAATGTCAGTCTTTGAGTAAATTTGCTGTCTCGATGCAGAATGGCAGTAAGCTTGGCATCTGTATCTGTCTCTGTTGTGATATTAATGTTGCATTTGCCTCTTCATGGGATGCTTCTGCTTAGATGTTTTACAAAATTTTGAGAATAGAAAACATTTTTCCCCTTCTCTGATTTTTTTAATCGTTTGTTTGTTTGTTTGTTTATTTATTTATTTATTTGATACAGAGTCTTGCTACGCAGTTCAGACTCACAGTGAGCCTCCTGTCTCAGCCTCCCCAGTGCTGGGATTAGAGGCGTGCACCACCACACCTGGCTTTGGTGGCAGGCTCAGGGCAGCCTGGAGGTGGGGCCAGCACAGCATGTGGTAGCAGGGCTTGAACCTGGGTCCTGGCACTTACAAGGCAGGTGCTGCGCCAGCTATCCTATCTCCCTAGCCCTTCTGTGATTTTTTTAAAGAAGATAATCTTTGAGGGATTTTGAAACTTTCTTGTAACATATCACAAGTCTTGGTAAATCTTGGTCAGTACTCTGTGAGGGCTAAATTATAATCACCATCTTATAGATAAACTACGGCTCAGAGAAATTAAAACCTTTGCCTGTGGTCTAGCCGCTAGGAAATAGAAGAGCTAGGGTTTGACCCTCAGTCTCCAGCCCACTCTCTGCTCTTTAGTTTCCCTTACTTAATTTACTTATGTAGACTCGTGTTTTATAATCAATATTAGTTGTACTTAATTTTAATGAGCTTAACTATTAAAATAGCTTTATACCTAAAGCCTTCAGGATTAAAGACTCGGCAGTGATTTATTAGGTACTCTGTTATTTATAACAGTGATTTATTAGATCACTTACTTTTTCATGTGTACAGAATGATATATATGTTAACATGATTAGAAGAAAACCGTAGTGACTCTTCAGCAGTGTTACCACACTGAAAGTGCAGCCATGGCAGTATTTTCTGTAGAGCCCTGTATTGAACTCATAGGTCTTTGCCACTTGACAGCATTGTGAATACTCCAGAGCACACTCGTGTAAGTTTCCAGGTAATTTTTAGAAAACCTCATGTCTGTCTGTCTGTCTCTGTCTCT